TAGAGCCAAATATAGTGCTCTCATCAATGATTTAGTCAGTAATTTGTACTTTTGGAGCCCAGCTCACCAATTATATGTTGTAGTACAAAATTAATAAAATGAGATAATTGATTTAAACAATTAATTTCAAACACAGAAGGGATTTGTCTCTTTATTTGCTATAACAAAATTCATTGAATTTATCATGAAATCAAGATGTATAACTTGATTTTTTTTCCCTCATTGATGTGCATTTCTATGCACTGGTCAATATTAGAACACACTCCCCCTTGTGTGGTGGTACACACCTATAATCCCAGCATTTGGGAGGTTGAGGCAGAATTGCCATGAGTTTAAGGCCAATCTGCATTAGACAGTGAGGCCCTCGCCCTCCAAATCCATGACTTACACAAGTTAACTAGTTTCTGTAAGAGATGTTCATTTTTTTATGCCCTCCACATTCAACACAGCATTTGCTTCTACATGTTGAAGGTGGTTTGTTGCTAATGTTTAATACTTTCTTCCTGAAGGGTCTTTGTCCCAACCCTGAACCACACACAAAGGCAATAATTCAGAACTGCTCAGTCCTAGCAGTAGCCATCAACCAATGTGAGAAAGACAGTCAAGGGAGTATTGTTTTAATTTTTTAACTCTTTTTTGAGATAAATCTGTGGTATACTTTATGCTCTCCCTGGGTTACCTAATGGAATAAAATTCTGCTTGTTCCAAGTAGAAATAGCATGATAAAGTGCTCTCTATTGGCATCCTGGCTTTTTTCTCATGCACTCATTCCTTTATGGGTGTTTTCTGTAATTACATCTAAAATAGGCTACACTCAGTCAAATCCTTGTGTCAGGGAGTGATCCTGAGGAAACCAAGGATGATGTCCTGAAACCAAAAGGATGTTTCTGTCCAAATAGAACTTCTGAGATATTTATTGTGGCTAGAGATCTCCATGTGATTCTGGTTGTATAAACTACTGTGCCCAGAAGCCTTTCTATTTATACCTAGAGGAAGAATAGAGAAATGTAGAGTGTGAGCAAATTGGTGCAATGCAAGAACTAGGCTATGTCATGTTTTCTGTAGGTATCAACATCTTCTCATCCATCTACTTACTTTGGCAGCCAGTTGTGGGCAAGTGTAGATGGACAGAGTCTTGTCAGAACTGCTCACTGTCTGTCTCACTGTATACCACATGGCTTCACTAATGCCACTGTATGAGAAGTTTCTGGAGGCTTGTTCACCCATCCCAACATTTGCACAAATATGGAAGTGCAAGGTGTCCTCTGAAGTGGTCTTTGACCACAATGGTGGGTGCTGCTAGATAAGTGCTCCTTTCTTCTATTCTTGGTGAAGGAAAGAAAGAAAGAAAGAAAGAAAGAAAGAAAGAAAGAAAGAAAGAAAGAAAGAAAG